TTCCTTTTGACAGCTGATTCTGGACCACCATTTGGCTCCCAGCACCATTAAGGGTCAGGTTTCTGCTCTTTATATCTTCTTTCAGATACTGCTGTCTCCTCATTCTTTGTTTAGAGTGTATGTTGGGCAGCACAGTGGCTAAATGGTTAGCACTTCCGCCTGGCAGTACTAGGATTGTTGGTTCGAATCCCAGCCACGGCACCACCTGCCTGGAGTTTCCATGTTCTCCCTGTGCCTGCGTAGGTTTCCTCCGGGTACTCCGGTTTCCTGCCACACTCCAAAGACATGCTGGTAGATTAATTGGATCCTGTCTAAATTGTCCCTAGTATGTGTATGAATGTAAGTTAGGGACCTTAGATTGTACGCCCCATGAGGGTTAGGGACTGATGTGAATGTACGGTATATATGTGTAAAGCGCTGCGTAAAATTGACGGCGCTATATAAGTACCTGAAATAAATAATAAATTAAACTGAACATTTCTGTTGTGTGTTGGATTAAACCCAAAGTTCTTTAGAAATACTGCCTGAAAACATGTTGACTCATTTGTTGTATAAACTTGATGACCGTGCCAGTTCCCCTTGGTTCCATTATCAAACTGACCACAGAAGCAGATCTGTGCTGGCATGCTCAGTTTGCATCCCTGGAACTGCTGCAAGGAGATAGAAGCATGCCATGTCTGTGCATAGCGTCCCTGTATCTCCTGTAGTCAGTGTTTTTGCTGTATTGTGGCCACCTAGCCCTGCTTTGTTGCGGCCATGCCCCCCACCCAGCCCTTCTGTGTTGCAACTGCACGAGGTACGAGCTAGAACCTGCCTTCTGGGATGCATGCACACAGATGGGGAACATACTTCCCTGTTTTTGTATGTGATGTCACATGCCCCCTGCTAAGGGGAGCAAGGATATCAAAGGGGTTGTGTGATGTGACTACAGGATTAAATAATTTAACAAATTATGTAAGCACTTTTTTGGGGGGGTTCCACTTCATGTCAAGGCACACTCTGCTATAACTGAAAGTGGCCCTTGGGCTTTTGGTTACAGTTTTTCAGGTTTGCAAAGCTGTTTGTTCCTTCTTCATGTTATGAGTATCTTCAGGATCCTCTTTGACCTGCAAGTGATCCCAGTTCTTTTGTTTTGTTTTTTGTTTTTTTTTTTGGGGGGGGGGGGTTGTTGGCCTGTTGGCACTTTGTTTGCTTATTCCCACCCCCTTGGTTGTACTGCTTTTGGACATACAAGACTTTATGTGCATATCGGACATTCATTTTTTTTTTCTCAACACACCGCACCACAACCTACAGTGGGTCACATAAGTTTGCTCTGGTGTGCTAAAACACTTGTGTGTTGAGGTGCCATTCAGGCAGCTGCAGCCCATGTAAGTCGTGTACCAGGGTGGGCTCCCCAGGATACAGTGAAGTTACGAACGAGGAAAGCAACCCCAACACCAGCTTACAATATTACACAAATCTACAGTATTCCCTCTCCCATAACTGGTCCTGTAGCACGTGCCTGAGTATTCCTTTTGAGCAACACGCCAGTCTGGCTTGAGTTTGTTGGATTTTATCGGCTCTCCAATGTGAAATGTCACCTCATTTCAGTCTCTGGGCGCCCACACTGAAATGAGGTGTGTGCACGATCTTACCGACCCGGGTCTGTTTTTGCATCCGCTGGTGACTCTGAACAGAACAAATGTTGCTTAGTTCCTCTGCTCTCATCAGCCTTCCTGGCAGCAATCTCATCAGCATTCCTGGCAGCAATCTCTGGTTAGTGAGGGACGCTTTCACACCTGGATGTCATCGGATTCTCAGCTCACACGACCCCTGCATTCAGCATCGTCCAAAACATGGCTGCAGTCTCGTCTCCCTGTTCACTAAAACCCCACCTCTTCAATGAATATACAAATATCTATGCAGTCTTAGCCTGTCTTAGAAAAACAGTGACATCTTGTGGCTAAACCACAGAATGTCAGTCAAAACATCAATTTACTCCACACAATAATTTACTGCACACAAACAGTGTTCAAACAATGAGAGCTGTTTCCCCATCTCACACCCACACCGTGGATTATACATTACTGCTAATACTATGACATTTAAAAGCTCACTTATTATAGGAGAATTTGTTTCCCGAAATCCCAGTAGGCCATTCACATGGGGAAATCTCAGCACTGCATTGTCTCAACACATAGGTGTGAATCCAGCCTATAAGGATCATGTTGCAGTGTACTTTTCTGAGATTATTGAATTGGAAATCAGCTGTGTGAGAAATGCCACCTTTGTTTAAATGTATTCACTTCCCATGAGCGCCTTGAAGTTTTGTAGTTTATTTTTGAGTGCTAGGGAATAAAAACGCTTTTCATCAGCTAGAATGTAACTTTGGCTTGCTGCCCCAGAAAAGAAGCTGATATATTAATACTTTGAGTGCAAAGATAATATATGATGAAATGAATGAAAATACAAGCACTGGTAGACATGCAGAATGCATTCATTTGGACGTGCTGCTGAGGTGTGGTGTCCAGTTGCCTCTGTTTATGAATATTCAAAACTCTACTTCTGCATAGATATCTTCATAACATGACCTAATCCTAATGCAAATCATTATACACTGCTCTGAATATAAAAAAAAAAAGCAGTGAGGGCTTTGTCTTTCCGTAGCTCTCAACATAAAAAGGACACACAAAACAAATACAAGAGAAGAAATATATATGACATGTTTTAAAATTGTCTCTTAAGTCCTATAATTTTATTACTGAAATCCATGTTGCTGAGACTTAAATTGATCATATTGCACATTTATTTAAAATTGAAATAACAATTCTTTGAGGACATGTAATGGTCTCTTGTTATAGGGGGAATTGAATCTAGAAACCCCAGTAGACCTTTCCTGAGAGTAGGCGTTGGAGATTAGTTTCTCCTGGGACATAGACATGATTGTTTGTTTTATGCCTGGAGCACAGGGAATCACACCTATTAATCTATTAAGTGAGTTACAACTATATGATTATGAGGATCATAAACCTTTTCATTGTATCTTGTGTGGAGAAGAACTTTAGGCAAATATATATGAATCCCCATTTAGTTCACTTAAACATTCCTTTAAAATTGAGCCCATAATTTTAATTCATAAAAAGTAGTTGCCTGAAATTTGCATCCGTAAACGACAGAAGTCAGCCTTGAGATGCAAGTTCCTGCTCTTGTGTATTAGGCAGTACCCTAAAAAGTATACATTTCTCTGATATGCCTCTTGAAAATTAGCAGTGTACTACCTGGCATGTTAGTGTGACTAGGCACTCCTGTATCTGCAGCGTGAGATCTAAGGCTTTGCCATCTCTGACTGCTAGTCTTTAACCTCTTCACGCCTAAGGGTAAGACAAATCTAAATACCTAAGCACAATTTTGCAACGTTGACATGTGTTAGTAAAACCATAAATATCATAACAACTACTTTATATATCCAAGTGAATTATACCTTGTTTTTTTCCGGACAAATTTGGCTTTCATTTGGTATTAAATGGTAATGGATATCTCCCTGATTTTTTTTTTATTATTTTTTTTTTTATTATTATCAAAGGAAAACTGGCCAAAAATAATAAACATAAATTAATTTTTTTAAAGTTAGCTGTGTGTTTCTTGTTACTACCAAAGCCTACCATCAAAGAGCAAGCCAAAATAAATTTTCCAGCTCTTGACGATCGCAGGGATACCATATATGTGTGTTATTTGTTGTTTGTACCCATAGTACAGCCCAGAAACAATAGTGCGCGGTTTGTTTGTTTTTTACCTAAAACACACTGACACCATTTTTTTTTTTATTGACCTTGACACAAACACTTACCCTGGCACTGAACTAGATCTTTATTTTTTTTTTATTTTGTAATATTTATTTACAAACATTATTTTTTTACAAACATTTTTTCCCCTCTAGGCCAAGAGTTAGAGATACAATGTATATCTCTCCTCCATTCATAGAGAGAAGAAAAAAAAAAAGGGGGGGGTCCGGGCTGTACAGTGACTGATCACTGTGAAAGCCAATCAGAGGCTATCAGCGATCATGTGACCCAGAATCGGGAGTCCCGGGTCCCTATCGTTAGAACAGGACCCGGGGCTCTCAGTGACACTGTGGTCTTTGTGCTGGGAGTGCACTGTGCGGCGCCCTCCCAGCACAAAGACAGGTGCGCAAATAGCAAACGAAAAAGCCAAGTTCTGTGAGGCTGCTTATTTCTGTTACGTCGGTGTCAAGGGGTTAAGAGATTTTGAATGCAATTTTGTGATGTCATCACTGTGCTACTCACTGTTCTCTTTGCTGGAGGCACTGACATGAGGAAGCAAAGCTCTTCCTCTAACAAGATGGCTGACCCTACACAGGTACACAAGACATAGTAAGCTACTTATGGGGTAAGATCAGCTGCAGAGAGAAAACGATACTTTTTTTTTTTTCAACTTCCATAGTTCAGATCTTCTTTAGTTAGTAGATCGGCAAGTGGGTTAGAAAATCTGCAAGGCTTTTATTGTAACTACCTTTCCTGGTGCTACCTGCTCCCCCTTATTCCTTATTTTGGTGTCATGCTGGGTCTCTCACCCTCACCTTACATTATGATGTCATTGTGAGCCGTCTGTACCCTCCTCGGCCAGGCCCCTGATGATAATGCACTGCCAGGTCTGCCCTTCTCTGATGGCTGTGTGGAACAGCTCTGCTTCAAAAGGCACCTCTCATGAGCAAAATATGTGGCTTTCCATTGCTGGCTCCCTCCTTAAAATGCTGTTTGCCTGATTGTCCTTGGCGTCTATACTTTTGACACACTGACCCAAAACAAGCACATATCTAATAAAGTTAGACCACCTCATCTGAAGTCTTGTTTCTGGTTCATGATTCAGAAAGCAGTGAACATAGAGGATCAGTATGACGGTCAATTAGCATTTTCAGAAGCATGTCAAAGTTATAATTTCTCACATCTTTCTTTTACGTCCCAGCAAATGATCATTTGGGTATATTGTCTGTTTTTCAGCACACCACCTGCCTGTGCAATGCGGTCATCAGTCTGCTGAAAGTTCCCCTGTCTTTTCAGAGATATTTCTTCCAGAAACTGCAATCTACAAGCATCAAAGTAAGTACAATAGTGAGTGTTCTGTCTGCTGCAGAGCCGTGTGTAGAAAAAGAAGCACAAGGAACTTCTATATATATGTTAATGCATTGAAGTAGGCTGCATATTTTACAGGAGAGCTAAAAAGGCAATTCTTGCAGCAATAGGCACCTCTTTTTCTGGAAATGGAAAGCACTTCTTTTGATCAGGAACTCTTCAGATCCAGCTCTGAATAGAAAGGAAAAGCGTGTGTTGATTATATCTGTAAGGCGTGCCTGGGTTATTTAATAGCGACATTAAATCGCCAAATGCTTTCTGGTTTTCGTGAAGATTGCTTTTTTTTTTTTTTCCACTTGCCAATACAGACTGTATTATCTTCTGTTGCCTAGAAATCCATACTTCATGTGAGAAAAACATCAAAATTGTTGGAGGTAATTTTACTGTAAATCTGTCAGTGATCAAACTGGCATTAGTGTTAAATTCACAGCAATTTCTTACATCTGCAATTTATTTTAATTCTCAGCTAGTTTTATGCTGGCCTGAGGAGTTTCTGGACCTCAAGCCCTCACATAGGGTGCTTGACTTGGAGTTAAAGTGGTTGTAAACCCTTACATATACCCAGTGAAGTGACTGGCTTCAGGTGATACACAGAGATGAATCAAACCCTCCTACATAAGTTGTACCTGATTACCTGCAGTATTCTCTTCTCTACATCCGTTCAAATACTCAACTTATAAAACTTGTCTGAGCATTCAGAAAAAAAGGAGATGGAGAGCTGAAATTACAAACTGCAGAGCTCAGTGAGGAGAGCGCTGAGAACTGATTGGAGGGAAGGGACACGTCCGCCTTCACGCATCACACAGGAACAGAGCTGAGGCTATCAATCTGCTGGAGGTCCCTCCCCTGTCACCATTTTTCTTTTCATGTCAAAAAGTTGTCATCATTAATGCTCATGCTTATAGCAGAAGAACGAAGCAGCAAACAGAAATGACACATAGTGGTCTTAATTGAGACGAGACAAGTACACACTATAGAGGGATATGCTTTGTTCATATTTCATGTCTGAGGTTTACAATCACTATAAGCTCCACCTTCCGCCAATCTAATAAATGGAATATTGAATGGTAGCAGGGCAGGAGATTTCCTCTGAGCTAGTAGAAGTCAGGACCCTATGATCAATGTGGGATTAAGATCTAGGGGCTTCCCGAGGCACAAAAAACTAGATGGACACTAATATTATTTTTCAACTATGACCACCTGTACCTGCCTGGTTCACCATTAGTAACACTAATAATAATATTAGGCCAAATTCTTAGTTTAAATTAACCACTTAGGGACTGCTCTATAGCAGATATATTACTACAGGGCGTCAATCACCGGGTCCCGGACGGTGATTACCGGCGATCACCAACAGAGAGGAAGGCTGCTTTGTTTACCAACAGTCGTCCTCCCTGTCAGTTTGGGCACACTGCTCTGGATGGCTGAGCAGAGCCATCCAGAGCAGTGTGCTTACAGTGAAGTACACACCCCCAGCCTCCTAGTAAAACACTCCCATCACACAGTTAACCCTTTGATCGCCCCTCATTGTTAACCCCTTCCTGCTCAGTGCCATTAGTACAGTGTCAGTGCTTTTTTTTTTAGCACTGATCACTTTATTGGTGTCACTGGGGATGTAAGTGACACCAGGTCAGTTCCCCACGTGTCAGAATGCCCGCTGCAGTCTTGCCATAATTCGCTGATCGCCGCCATTATTAGTATTAAAAAAATACGGAAAATCTGTATGCATTGATTGTGGATCAAAGCAATTTATATGCACAACAGTTTATCGCCGCCAACCCAAATTCAAACCTTGCCAGACAATTCGTATGGAAACCCATTACAGTTTCTGAATTAAAATTCTTTTTTGGGCCTTACCCTCAACATGTGCATTACTATAAAAAAAAAATTGCATTTGTATTGGTCCACAGACCCGATTCATCATATGCCCGTGTTCTCTGCTGCCATGACCAGGCATAGATATGAGAGTATAATGTGTTTTATGCATTTCAACGACAATACACTCTGTCTACCTCGGAATGACCCTGAATTTGACCAGATCCACAAAATTCGGCCCCTCATAAATCACCTTAACCAAAAATTTGCAGATGTCTATACTCCCCAGCAAAAAAATCTGTGTCCCTCATGAATTTTTCTGGCCACCTTGCATTCAAACAAGGTCAAGATGTATAAGACCTGTGAGAGGGCAACAGGGTATACATATAAGTTTCGGATTTACGAGAGAAAAGATAGTCACGTGGAGCCCCCTGGATGCCCAGACTACATGGGGAGCAATGGCAAGATAGTTGTGGACTTGGTGTCATCCTTTTTCCATATGGGGTACCACTTATATGTGGACAATTTTTAGTCAAGCGTGCTACTATTTAGACATTTGTACAATCTTGGAGTTGGCGCATGTGGCACCGTGTGACCTAATGTGTGCCCACCATTAGAAGTGGGTGATGCAGGGCGGTATATTCTAAAGGTGGGCATACTACACACACTTTTTCTGGCAGAGATTTCTTCTCTTCTTTTCATTCAGCCCACAGGCTGCATGAAAAAAAAAAAAAAAAAACATAGCATATATACCCAACAAGGACCAGCGACATACTGGTACATCACTGGACTTTGAATGGTTATATCAGGATGATGCCTACAGTTGCAGGCATCATCCTGGTATCATTTTTTTTTCAGCCGGTGATCGGCTTTCATGTAAAAGCAATCCTAGTGGCTAATTAGCTATAGGATTGCTTTTACAAGCAGCGGGAGATGATGCCCCCCTCCCCCGCTACCTTCCACGGCCTTCTCGGGCAGTCCCGTGCCATCAGGGGAAGCTGGGAATGCAGCCGGTGTATCTGCCAGCTGACCATAGAGATGATTGGAGACCAGAATGGTGCCAAGCATCTCTATAGTGTAAGAAATCAGAAGCTATGAGCATTTCATCCCTTCAGTTTCGCAGGATATAAACAGCGCCATTTGTAAATTGGGAAAGCATCTGATCACACCGATCTTGGTGAGATTAGATAATGTAAGGGCAGAGGAGATATCCAGAGTCTGATAGACCCCAGATTTCTGAAAAAAGAATATATGACAATGCCCATTGAAGTTATAGGGGATATTTGCATTCCCTGTGATAGCATTAAAAGTGATTAAAAAAAAAAGAAAAAATGAAAGGGGCAGTGTAAAAATAATACGTCAGATCGAGGACAGTAATTCAAGTACTAGACCTGCTCTGTACATCTAAAATGGTAGCTTGTAAAGACTTTTAAAGCGTTTCCTCTGGATGTTAAAAATGTATGCAGTTTGACGCCATTGCACGGGGCATGCGCATGTTTTGTATCTATTTACGCGGCATACCATCAACTTTATATTTTAACAAATTGGCCAATATATTGTGTTTTTTGTGCATTAAAAGTAAAAAAAAAAAGTGTATTATTTTTAAACAAATTTGCATTTGAAAAAAGGCTGGGTGAGTACTATGTGACATAAAAACTTCTAATGCTTGGCATAAAATACCCCCACCCCCCAAAACAACCCCTTTTTGGAAAGTAGACACCCCAAAATATTAGATGAGAGGCATGTTGAGTCAATAGAATCATTTTATTTTTTTACCACAAGTTTTTGGAAGATGACTAAAAAAAAATTCTTTTTTTACACAAAATTGTCACTTAAATGATTTATTGCTCACGCATGCCATGGGTATATGTGGAATTACTCCCCAAAATACATTCTGCTACTTATCCTGAGTATGGGGGTACCACATGTGAGAGTACCAGGACCCCAAAATCCAATAAGCAGATTCAGGCTTTTAAAGGGCTTTATTTCCTCATTACACTTCCTCACTACCTATCACAGTTATGGAGGCCCTGAAATGCCAAGATAGCACCAACCCCCCAAATGACCCCTTTTTGGAAAGTAGACACCACAAGGAATTTGATTAGAAGCATGGTGTATTTTGCAGATCTCATTTGTTGCCACAAGCTTTTGGAAAATGAAGAAAGAAAACAAAAACATATTCATTTATTTTTTTATTATATATATATATATATATATATATATATATATATATATATATATATATATATATATATATATATATATATATATATATATTTCAAAACCTTGTGAGAAAAAACGAGATCTGCAAAATACTCACCATGCCTCCTTTTTAAATTCCTTGGGGTGTCTACTTTCCCAAAAGGAGTCTTTTGAGGGGTTGGTGCTATCCTGGTATTTCAGGGCCTCCGAAACTGTGATAGGTAGTGAGGAAGTGAAATGAGGAAGGTACGCACCTCAGGCTTTCAAAGTGGTCATTGGATTTCAGGCTCCTGTATGTGGCTAGGCTCCCAAAAAGTCTCTCACATGTGATATCACCATACTCGATAGAAGTAGCAGAATGTATTTTTGGGTGTAATTCCACATATATCTATGGCTTGTGTGAGAAATATATAATTTAAATGACAACTTGTGTTTAAAAAAAAAAAAAAAAAAAAATGTTTTTGTCATTTTCCAAAAACTTGTGGAAAAAAATAAATCTTCCATGGACTCAATATGCCTCTCAGCAGATAGCTTAGGGTTTCTACTTTTCGAAAAGGGGTCATTTGGGGGTGTTTTGTACTGTCCTGGTATTTTAGCACCTCAAGAAATGTGATAGGCAGTCAGAAAGTAAAAGCTGTGTAAATTCCATTATCTACACCATAGTTTGTAGACGCTATAACTTTCATACAACGCAATCAATATACGCTTATTGGGATTGTTTTTACCAAAAACGTAGCAGAATACATTTTGGCCTAAATTTATGACTAACTTTGAGTTTTTTTAATATTTTTTATGACAGAAATGAGAAAATATAGTTTTTCTTCAAAATTTTCGGTCTATTTTTTTTTGTTTATAGCGCGAAAAATAAAAAGCGCACAGGTGATCAAATACCACCAAATAAAACCTCTATTTGTGTAAAAAAAAAAAAAAAAGACATTTCGTTTGGGTAC